TTTTACGTAACTTAATAAAGTCGAAATCTTTGTATAATATTTATTTGTGGTAATATATTGACTTACATCGTTTCTTTTTTACTTTGTTTATTCGAAACTAATCTTTTCTACAAAGTAAAAATTAAATTAATTTCTCTATCGAGATATTGGACGATTTTTACTTTAAGATTAGTGTGAATAGGTCAATTAATTCTTATTAAATACATGCCAACTATTACAATACACTTTACGAACGTTTAATTATCTACTAATATAGCCAATAATAATATAATTTATATACGTACACAACATATAAATAGGGTGTCAATTAAGTATCAGCTCGACTTTGCAACAAATGCGCCGTCACCAATTATTTAAAGACGGTATAAGAGAGGTACTTTCGCTCTCAGCAATCGAAAGAGGGAAATGATGGACAGGTCAACAAATAATTATAATATAAATTATAATTATAACTACTCAGTCTTATTCTATTTAATACAAACCAATGAACATTTATAAATCTCTTATTATCAATCAGGAAAATTCAAGCCAAACATCCGGCCAAATCTTTAACAGCAAAGGGTAGCCTCGCTTTCTAAAAACAGGTAACTCAGGTGAAAAAACTCTCCATGCACGGATCTCTACTCTTTCTAATGACTTCTTAAAGGTTGCCGATTTTAGGTATCGTCCGTCTTCTGTCTTTTTATCGACAAATAGATCTGTAGTGAGTTGCTCGCAGTCGCTCTCTCTCTCTCTCTCTCTTTCTCTCTCTCTCTTTCTCTCTCTCTCTTTCTCTCTCTAAGCTTCCCCATTTAGCCTAATTTTTTAGGCAGCGTGTGACGCGGCTGATATCTCATTTTAAGGTTTCTCACGTAAGAACAACTAACTGTATAGATTTATTGTTCTCCGCAATCGCGAAAAAGCACACGTGTGTCTGCAATTCGAGATTGCCCTCTGCAAAATTGTCAAATCTGCGTAATAGCGCTCGATGTGTACTTTATGAGTAGAGAGCTGCGAGGTGAGAGAAGAAAGTTCTTTCCTCTCTCCTAGTCTCTCGTCTCTCTCCGTCTCTTGATTCCTATCTGATCACTTTCTCTCATTTATGAACTGATTCTCTCTTTCTCGCCTCCGTGACAGTCGACACATGATTTTTTATCCCGCGATTGATTTTACAGCGTGGACAGTGGAGTGATTAGCTAGTTGGTCGGTAACGTTCATTGTCGCGCTATGAGCAATTTACCCTTTCTTTCTTTCCACGATTGCGCAGTAAAGCTTTTCGAGAGAGAGTTTCCCTTTTTTGGAAACGACGAGCAAAAAAGGGCAGACAGAGACGAGACAATGGAAAGAGAAGACGCGTTCCAAGTCGCGAGCGAATAGATTGATTATCACTAAGGAAGTGAATAAATTTGTTTTCTGAAATAGTTTCTAGAGAAATTGATTTAAAAACCTAAACTCTCCACCAATCCCTCTCGATTTGTGTAGTGTGTGTGGCCGTGAGTGGTACTTCAAACGTGCTTTGCATTCGATCAACATGACCAAGAAGCAGTTGGAGGAGAGTCTCCCATCATCCAAGAAGACCTAAGTGCTTATTCTATACTTATATTTATACTAATTGTTACGTCCGAACTGGAACTTTGTAACGTAGAGTGACGATAAGCATAAATAGATAATGAAAAAGTAGATTGGACATTGAGGTAGGAAAAAGAATACAAAATTTAACTTCAAGTAATGAGAGTCATTAGCTGTCATGACCTTGCAATATATTTGGAAAACTCCTTAAACTCGGTGATATTTTTCTTATCCTACAGGTTCTGTCACTAAGCCTAGCAGTCAGCCACGTCTCAGCCCTCTCGCTGCAGATATTGTGGTTTTTGTATCATTCCGTATAAACACTCGTAGCGCAACAGTTCTTTGCACGAGTGTACCATGAATATTGTCTATATCTTTAGTAGAAAAGCAAAAATCAATTATTTTATTCATTGCTCTAAAAGCAGCTACATAGGAAATCAAACTTAATTGGCCTACAGATTTATAAATGTCACGATGAAGGAGTTGATCAGGATATTTTAACAGTTTTATGCATTCATTTTCCTCAAAAATTTCCCCATGATAATTCTTGGATACTATCTTTGACTTGACAGGTTAAAGTAATGCAGTTTCTCTCCCAACTAGTGGTATTAAACCATCCCCGAAATGGTGGTTCATAAACCTATTATTTACTTATTAATATTACGGAAAAATTTACATTATATAATTCTTATCATGAAAAGATCATTTAATAAAACTAATATAGATTAAGTATTATGTTTTGAACTGTTTTTGTGATGATATGCGAACTTATCTCGTTCAAAAAAGTGCTACAATTTAAAACATAAATTAATATATATTTTTGCCCATGACTTGCAAAGGGGATCAGATACGATTTGCGGACCTAGTTTTTTGGATTTTGCAGGTCTAAAATAGGGTAGAGCCATCATCCATTCCTTGCCACAATTTTATAAAACTTTCAAGCTTCAGACAATCACCGTACTTAATCGGAATCGTCAACGGGATTCTCGGCATTTCCATTATCTATCTAGGATAGTTCGTTTTTATCAAATATTTATACTATTTTTCATTTTTGGTTTTTTCACAGTTCCTTCCTCTATCGTGTATCCTAGGAAGTACTTCTTTGACAAGATATTAATGTCCAGACCAAATGTTCTTTGATCATTTTAACGAGGTTGATACTCCTACCCCTCATGCTTTCGTACCTCTTGTTGTGTATGTACTTGCGTGCATACGTGCATCCATGTGTGTGTATGTTTTTTTTTCGAAGAGGTGAAGAATGCTTTTTACGCACCATGATAGGAGCCCTACGAAGCTCCCCGTATGCGGGACTCGCCAAGTGCTGAGGCAACTTGCCTGGTCGGATGGATGGACCAGATCCTACTTCTCTGAAAGTAGAACCTCTACCCACTAAACTCCAGCCTCTTTATCTTTATCTTTTGCAGCCTTTTATTCCCCGCGAAACCGCCGCTAGGGGTTATTTCACGGGAGTGGCACGAGCTGATTCGCTCTATCTTCTTTTCCCTTTCCTACGTCCTCCAATCGCTGCCATTTGATGCCAAGATAGGGCAGTCTCTTCTTTAAGGATTGTTGTCGTCTTCTTCTTACAGAATCATATCGTCTTCTTCTTTCGGCATCGTCCGGTCGTCTTCTTCTTTCGACATCGTCTGGTCATCCTCTGGACAACTTCGTCCTCGACACCTACGTTCCTCTGCATCGGATGAGGGAGTCTGAGCTTGACCTAATATCCTTAACTGATCTGCCAAGGCAGAGAAGCATTTTAGAAGGCTGGCACCTTGTAAACCTATGGATAGTCTCGCACCCCCAGAACCTATGTTCCTCTGCATCGGATGGAGGGAACTGAGCTCAACCCAATCATCTACATTCCTGAGACGCAACTCATCGACTTTAGTCCTAAACATATAGCGGGTGGCCATAAACCATAAAGGTTTATCAGTAGCAATAGGTCACTCAAGCTCCCCGTATTTCTCTTTTGTTTAAGATATAAAGATTTCTTTTAGAAAGGGGAAGACATAAGATACATCATTGAACACACTAACAATTATCTTGCGGCCGATAATATATCATAAAGTGAGCAATACCGATTTCTCTCAGTAGAATGATTGCCATATTACATTCAGCAATGAAACTTGCAACACGGTGTATTTCACGAATGCGTTCGGTATAGTAGATTATTCTCTAGATAATACATACAACTAAAAGCGAGTCATTTGGATATAACGATGTATGGACTATATCACTGGATGGATGAATGGAAGTATATCACTCTTAGTAACCGGAATATTCATGCAATCTTTTCCTCGCTAAAAGTAATTAATTAGGTGAAGTCACGAGTTGAATTATTACTAAATGAAGTATCTTTCATATAAGTATACTTCATATAAATGAAGTATCCAATGACTAACAGAAACATTATAAAATTATTTAGAAATAAATTTTTATTGTTATTGTTATTATGATTAAGAACTACGTCTACGTGGAACGTTGCAGAGGTATACTAAGTACTTATATGCATTAGTCTTTGTTTCCTACAGTCACGACTATTTAGACCTATCTCTCCCATCATTTTTAGAAAATAGTGTTGGAGGAAATAGTTTTACACGTATCGAGACTGGAGCTATAATTTAAGGTGGAATCTGAATCACCGGAATCACGATAATAAACATATGAAAATTTCATTTCTGAAAATGTTCTCATGCCCGGACTCGAATCCATGACCTCTTATACAGAAGCCTGGACTCTCTTACCGACTGAACCACTGTAACTTCAAATAATGTACTCATGTTATCAAATATATAAAAAAGATTTCTTATTTTTTATTTTATAACTGAGTACTTGATTAAGTTACCCTTATCTATATATTAAGTAATTCAGAAATTTCGCTTCTGCTCAAATCCACAATTCTTGATGCAAAAATTACCTCTTTTAAGCCACAAATAGAAGGACTATAAGTACTGATTTAAGCTCACCAACATTATTACACATTGTAAGTGACTTTTGACATGAGTACCACTCCCCACTCATGGCATGTAGTAGTGGGATTCATAAATCACAAACAATGTAATAGACTGTATCATAAAACTATTATAAATTAACTATGTGGTAAAAGTTAAAAAAAATTTAAGCTAATATTTTATTCAGATATGGTATAAATTTTTGGTATATGTGTAGTTCATTGATAATGTTAGTTGACATTTTTTATCAAAACGTTTGAGCGCATATCAATTACTGACAGTAATAACTCATCATAAACAGGTCCCTGAGTCACTATTTTAATGGCTGATTACATTACAATAATACTAAAATAAGAGGAGATTTTGAAAAATTAAGGAGAAGTGGCGAATTTTTTTCTGATGTGTATATGAATATATATATATATTTATATCTTGTTATATCGTATGAGTTTAAGTATTTGTATTCATTAAATATATCAGTACTTGAATAAATTACAGGCGTACGAGCTTTCAACATTGACGGGTACACAAGTAATGCTATTGGTTGCGAGTGAAACGGGACATGTGTACACATTTGCCACTAGAAAATTACAACCTATGATAACTAGCGAAGCTGGAAAAGCTCTCATCCAAACATGTTTAAATAGTCCAGATCCACCAACATCTGGCTCGTCTGGGGATCAGCGAATGTCAGCTACTGGTTTTGAAGAAACAGAATTGTCATATAATATTGGAGATGATGACCAACAAAAAGTAAGACAGCTTGTATACGGTCCTTCCCATGGAAGTGGCTTGCACGTTGGCTATACAAGTGCCAGTGGTCCGCAAAATGCTCAGCACGTCTCACCTTCACACGTTCAACATACGCATCTGATAGCGCATGCGCATGCGACGCCCCCAAACTCGCATTTAGTACCTTGCTCAAGTCCGAGTTCACTGCTTGCTGGTAGTCCATACGTTCAAGCCTGTCCGTCTCCTCTTCCACCTCCTCATACGTCTTACCATCCACATATGACTCCCTCTCATAATCAACGGTAGTTAAAGACAGATTATGCTGTAGCTCAGTGATCTCGTAAAATAACTTTTAATAATCTCTTCGAAAAAATGAATTAAATAGTCAAATGGTTCTGTAAAAATTGCTTAAAAATTATAAAAAAAGGTACACACATTTTTTCAGTATTTTATAAAGAAATAAACTTTATGAATTGCTTTTTCCAGCAATAAATACAACAAATATTCTTACATGAATTCAACTGACGAACAAAAAATTAGTTTTAATCGTTTGTAAAGTTATTTTATGATAAGCATAAGTTATTATTATCATTAAACTATGTTAAGAGCTTACAGTTAGTAAAAAACCGAAATTTTTCCAAAGTAGATTTTTCTAACTAATCCAGCGTAGTATTACTGAAATAAATCAAGATCAACCTTTTCCTATATATGCGCACGCACGCGCGTGTGTATGTATTTGTGTGTATATAATGTGATTCACTTCAATTACAACGACCAAATTTTTTTCATGTTTTTTTATAAACCTGTTATAATATAACTTGCAAGCATGAATCTAAATTTTTCGGTTTTCAAAAGCAATGTCTACATTAATATAGGCTTTGGAAAATCGGCTCTTCTGATCTTTTAAAATTTATTTCAAGCATAAACTTATTGTAACGGATAGGTATTTGCAGAAAATAATGAATTTATTTTAGCACTGATGATACCCGGTTTAGTACCAAAATATCAACCTTCGTCGACAAATAAAATAAGTCTATACGTACTTATTCACGTACTGTTATTACTATATGAATGTGTACATATGAATATGTACTGAAGTTCGTGAAATGTAAGATGAGTGTGTAATACAAATTCGAGTTTATATAGTAAAAATATTGGTTTGATTCTGTAAGGGTACATAAAAATGTAAATTGATAAATAATGATAGTGATCAAATTGCAGACACCATACCAGAGCTTTATCTGGGACTTTTATACGACACCTGTGTGGCAGACTATACAACAAAAACAACTATTAACAACAATAAAAAAAGTTAGCCTAAGTGCTTCGCAAGTTAATTAGGTATAATGACACGCAATGCTCGAAGTCGAAATAAGGATTACGGATCGCTCACGTATATTACGGAATTTTTGCTCTTTGCCTCTCTTTCTCTGTCTGTCTGTCTGTCTGTCTGTCTGTCTGTGTCTCTCTCTCTGTAAGCCTACGGGGTTATACCTCATGGCTAAATAAAAAATTGTTTAATCTAATCTCTCTCTCTCACACACACAGTAGTTTACCACAGTCGATTTCCAAGATAAAGATTCCAATCGAAATTACCATTATTTTTTTTAATTTAACTCTTGAATATACAATTTTCATTTTAAAACATTTTATATGTACAATTTTGTGCAGGTTATCGACTTTTGTCGAATGCTTAAGCCTTACTACAAACATTCAAACTAAATATTGAAGACAATTTTGCAATAATTTCATTTATTTTCTAGTGGATATTATACATCGACACAATTATTTAATCCAAATTGATTAAGAGACAAAAAATAATTTGAATAGACTTCCATACATGTACAGGGATTTCAAAGACAATAAAATGTGAAGGTGTAAACAACACACTGTGAGACAAGAAATTTTGCTAAGAAACCAGAATAATTATCATGATCAATTACACAATAATCAAACTGAAATCATTTAATCGATATTACATTATTAATTTAATGAAAAGCGAGCACACGAATATGGGCAAATAAATTCAAATGAACCCCTGCACATCTCTTTAAGTTGTTTTCCAACTAACAAGGGAAGGCAGAGAGGTACATGTCATCGATTTTTTTCAACTTTGCATACGTGTAGAGTATAAAAAAATATTAGACACGTATTTTTTTAGTAGCCAATATGGTAATTTACAAGGTAAAAACAGGGTTGTCAATTATATATACTTACCTTGAATGTGAGTGCGTAAGTTGGTGAGACAATAAATTCAAATTAGCATATCTTGATAAATAAAAGGATATCTAAACTATTCAATACTTATTTCGAAGAGAAAGGCTCATATTTTAAGATACATTAATTAGTTTTACTGAAAAAAATTATATTATGATGTTACATAATCTCAAAAATGTGAAAAAATTGTGTTTATTGCACTTTTAGTTCAGTATGTAAAGAATCTTGAATTTTCAAAATTTTTAGTGTTTCATTTTCATTTTTTCTTTTTGATTCTTTTAAATTGAAAAGACAGTTTCTAAGTTCGATTTCTAAAATAGACCCAACTTATAAAATTCAAAGTTAACCTTTGATATTTATCACAGATTCGAATTCTATGGAAAATAGCATATCCTGACATGATATCCAATTTTAATGAAAAAATTTGCGTTTTTCAAAAAATTTTTTTTAGGAAAAAAACGTAATATTTCACATTGAATCATAAATTTATCTTTTTATTTCTTTTAATAGTTATGTTCATATACATATTAAGCTACGTCAAATACAACTTTTTATTTATCTCAGATATGTTTAGTGTTATTTTTGAAAATTATATAACTATGGTATATAATTCTTACAATGATATTCTGTAAAGAAGCGATTTATGCATAACTTTTTTACACCAATCATAAATTATAATTGCATTGTTGTCTTCGTAGTTACGTAGACGTTATTCTTGCATACCAAAGTAAAATGTAATAGGATTATCACATTTTGCAGGTTTATCAATATAATCACTTTTGACCATGAATACTTAAAGGTATTCTGATACTTTGGAGAATATAACCGATTACGTACGAGTGATTACATTCTTATGATAAAATTTCTTTCGTGTAAATGAATATTGTGTTCTATTAATTTAATAATAGCAGATAGCTTTCTTACAAAATTCTTCCAGAAACAAAAACCATAATCATCTAAAGGCTGAATTTTATCTGATGTACTTGAAATAATTCTTTAGAAAGCTTTCCAGGTTTAGAAGCTCGTATTAATACATTTTCTGGAATAAATTATGTCTGTTTAATTCGAGGCTCAAAATCTCCAATTGCTTCTTTCAATACTAAACATAAAGGTAAAAGTAAATTACTCCCTGCTGATATAATAGGTTAAATAGTGTGATCGTATGTTAACGAATACAATGATTCTATGCTTTCAATTTCTTTCAGTACTCTATAATTTAATATTCTACCGCTGTGAAGCTCCAACTTAAATCCACTTTGATCGAAATTACGTACGTTACTGGCGCCGTATCTGATAAGCATTTGTTTAATTTAAATTCTGAGAGTATCAGATTAATTTTCAATTTCATTAATATTTTTCAAGAAATCTGTTCTAACAAATTTTTTATGAGATACTATATTATGTTATATTTGAAATTACCAGATCCACCAATTCAATCGCTTGAAAAAAGGCTTACCTATTTCAGTTCTTTTTTGCAAAGCCTATCTTTTCAAATAAATATCATGTACAGTCATCTTTGATTTTACAATTCCATTAAATTTATTAGACCTACTGTCTCCTGCTTTAATTTGCTGTTTCCATTGCCGTAATTGTCGCATGCTACTTGTTTGTATTTGTGCTTCACAGTATTAAATGCGTAAGGCTTACTTTTTCCACTCAACCGAAACTTTACTGCTTCTTTTTTATATTTAAAGTAAATTATTTGTTGCTCACATGGATTATGTAATTCTTCTAGGAAATCTTCAGATTCTCCGTTTTCCGTGTATTTAATACCTAAATATAATTTTATTTTCATCAGAAATATACATTGTTGTTTCTTCTTCAATATCAACATAAGAATTTTCTGCATGTTGTCTTATTATTTTCTTCAGTATGTTGTGCGATTGCATTTTTTCGTCCCTGATTGGAAACTTTGGTTCTCCATCATTGTTCCGATTAAATATTATTGACAGTAAGGGTGTTACAACTTTTGTATCAATATATATTTTATAAATGTATATAATATTTAATATGTACGTATAATGATAAAAGTTTGATTCGAAAATTTACGCAATCAAATTCTAAACAGAGAATTTTCAATGATAGTAAAATAATTATTTTCGAGTATTACTAAGAATTATATCAACAATCTTTAATATAAATTCATTTGAATTGTACATATAATGCTTCGGTACTTATTGAATATATACCAATATTATATTATAAAAGTAAAATTTTAAACTAAACTCGACCTTTTATAAAACCTTTTATAATAAAAAGTATATTTTCCCTATGTGTAAAATAAAATGATATTATAAAAATAACAAAAACCAAATAGCATTATTAAAAACATTCAGGAGTTAACCATTCAGAGTTAATAATATGGTAAATTAATCACGGTTTCCGCATTTATACTGATAAATTAAAAATAAATAACAAAGTATCTGCAGTGTTTTTATTATTATTATTATTATTGTTATTATTATTATTATTAAATTAAACAATTCTTAAAAACAAACATATTTATAAGATAAATAAAATGTTGTATATGGTGTATGTATTATTTTTGTTTTTACAAGAAGTTGCGGAATCCTTTTTGCGGATTCCCCTTAGTCTTGCTGACTAAGGAGTTATGCGGGACTCCCAAAAAAAATAGGCCTACTCACTAAACCAACACCTCCTTGATGTCCTTCCCCTAGCTGAGGACTATGTTGATATTACTTTTGACTGGAGGTTCTGTCTGTGTTCGTCCGTTTATGTCGTTCCTCCGTATCTCGTTACGTCGCATCACTCCGTTTGCTCAATCATCTGTCAAGCAGTCGTCCGCGTTCTTACATCTCAATATGGTTTCCATATAGGTATATCGACTAAGCGCCACCATTCAGGTTCATGCAACATCACCTCCACAATGTTATCGGGGGTGATGCTGCCGACCGTAGTAGGTAGGAGTAAATGATTCGCAGTGCGCCCTGTCTCTGTGCCATCATCATCATCTTACAGTATTTCTTTGGCTTCAGTGAGTCTGTCCATATTTCCGCGCCGTATAGGAGCATCCAATGAGCTGTCGCCATTAACATTCGCCGTTTCCCCAATCTCGGTCCCGTCGTATTTACCATCAGGCGACTCAAGGATGTTATCCTCTCTGCTGCTTTCCGAGTTGTCTTCTGTATATGAGGCTAGAAGGTTATCTTCGTATATCGAGGGTTACCCCAAGGTATTTGACTTCCCTCTTGGTCTCCATCTCGTATGTCCCCATCCTCATGTGTAGAATCGTCTGTATGC